TACAGTATTTAACTTTATTGATTTGTTTTTACTTGATTTCAGCCCAAATCAATTTTGTTTCTTCCAAAATCCCACAGACCCCTCAGCAATGTTGAAATAAAAAACAACAAAATCTTTTGCAAATAAAATTAATTATGAAATGGGGTCATATCATTTCCCACTAACTTATTTGAATACTATGTTCTAAAATGTAATATTGAATCAAAACAATTGGATTATTATCTTCAATAAATTGTACAGTCCACATACATTGATTACAACTTAATATACAATATTTCATGGCATTTGTGCAAGCTCACTTATCAAATTTAAAAAAAAAATGGCTATGCATTAACCAGCCAATCACAGGAGAGTGGTCTGGTCACATCACTAGATCTGCACATAACACACATTTAGAGGGAGATTAGTGATTGATTGCAAACATTCATCAGCAATGATGAGAAATGATGTGGTTCTGTGTGATTATACTATTCATAGCAGTGTATGTGGTGCGCATCTATGGGTATGGTTCAGGAGCCTCTACTACTGTAAAATCTATATTAGAATCCACGACTTCTATTGAAATGGTACAATGCAACAGAAGGGATGCAGCTTTTATTAGAGCATCTACACATATGAGAAATGATGAATTTCTGGTTCTCAATTGTTCAAAAAGAATGGGTGCGACTTCTATTAGGGATGCAGATTCTATTGACATGGTACAATGCAACAGAGGGGATGCGGCTTCTATTACAGCATCTACACATATGAGGAATGGTGAATTTCTGGTTCTCAATTGTTCCAAAAAAAATGGGTGCCACTTCTATTAGGGATGGGAATTCTAATACAGATTTTGCGGTACTGTATGTGATACAATGACTCCAGGTCATGCCAACATTTCTCCACAGCAAGGACACGAGTCCATTTACTTTAACCAAAGACAATATGTCTAATGTCTTTGCTTTAACCATGATACCACGGTTACTAGTAACCGTGGTGATACCAAGCTTATATAGTGCCAGTTCAGTTAGATGACAGACGAGTGTGGAATTTCCAGTCTAATAAATCGCCTACCATAGAGGTGATGTGACCATAAACAACTCGACAGATGACTCTGAAAGTAAGGATAATTTGTCAAAAATGTTCACTGAATACAATTAAAGATGAAAGGTGTGCAGTGTGCAAAATACAGTATTGTAGTTGTTAGCATTGAGTAACACTTTGAAATCATTGATGGACATCTACAGATCGATCAAAACTATATTGATACACTGGATGATTTTCATTGGATTGCTAGATGTTGCTTTTTCTAGAAAATCTGCATTGGTTGGGAAATCGTTACGCTTATAACACTTGTAATGTTGCCAAGAGACTGAATCTTGTGTTCTTGAAACCCTCCCAGTTAACGTGGTTGGGCGGGATTTGCAGGAATACTCACCACTGACAATTGGAACTTTTTCCAGTCCGAGCACCAAACTGATCGATTGTAGCAATGTCGGTGACAGCGTTACACATTCCACAACAGCACTTCGTTCACATGGAATCCACCTGCCCAGGCCGTCATCATGTATGCATTAATTATAAAGTTAGGGGGTCAATTTGATAGCTAGAGACAGGCT